CGTACCTACTCTTGGTACGAACCATATCAGTAAGTAACGTGCTAACTCTTGCTACCAACCATATCGTTAAGTAACGCGATCACTCCTGGTACCAACCATATGGGTAAGTTATGCGCTTACTCTTATTACCAACCATAGGGGTAAGTAACGCTCTTACTCTTAGTACCAACCATATGGGTAAGTAACGCGCTTATTCCTGGTACCAACCATATGGGTAAGTAACGCACTTACTCCTGGTACCAACCATATGGGTAACTAATGCGCTTACTCTTAGTACCAACCATATGGGTAACTAATGCACTTACTCTTAGTACCAACCATATGGGTACGTAACGCGCTTACTTTTCGTACCAACCATATCGGTAAGTAACGCACTTACGCTTGGTATCAACCATATCGATAAGTAACGCACTTACTCCTGGTACCCACCATATGGGTAAGTAACGCGCTTACTCCTGGTACCAACCATATGGGTAAGTAATGCGCTTACTCCTGGTACCAATAATATCAGTGAGTAAAGCACTTACCCTTGGTACCAACCATATGTATAAGTTACGCGCTTATTCTTAGAACCAACCATATGGGTAAGAAATTCTTAGTACCAACCATATCAGTAAGTAACGCACTTGCTCTTAGTACCAACCATATGGGTAACTAATGCACTTATTCTTAGTACCAACCATATGGGTAAGTAACGCGCTTACTCTTCGTACCAACCATATTGGTAAGTAACGCACTTACGCTTGGTACCAACCATATGGGTATGTTATGCACATTCTCTTGGTTCCAGCCATTTGGGTAAGTAACGCACTTACTCTTAGTACCAACCTGGTACCAATTATATGGGTAAGTAACGCACTTACTCTAGGTACCAACAATATGGGTAAGTAACCGCAGTTGGACCAACTGGCCTGTTGGTCTTATGGACCGGTTGGGCAAACTCACCTGTTAGCTGAATGGACCGGTTGGACCAACTGGTCTGTTGTTCCTATTGAGCAGTTGAACCAACTCGCTTGTTGGTCCTATGGACCGGTTGGACCAACTGGCATGTTGGTCCTATAGACCGGTTGGACCAACTGGCCTGTTGGCTGAATAGACCGGTTGGACCAACAGGCCTGTTGGTCCTATGGACCGGTTGGACCAACTGGCCTGTTGGTCGTATGGACTAGTTGGACCAACTTGCCTACTGGCCGAATGGACCAGTTGGACCAACTGGCCTGTTGGTCCAATGGACTGGTTCGACCAACTGGCCTTTTTGTCCAAGGGACCGGTTGGACCAACTGGCATGTTTGTCCAATGGACCGGTTCGACCAACTGGAGTGTTGGTCCTATGGACCGGTTGGACCAATTGGCTTGTTGGTCCAAAGGACCGGTTGGACCAATTGGTCTGTTGGTCCTATGGACCAGTTGGACCAACTGGCTTGTTGGTCCAATGGACCGGTTGGACCAATTGGTTTGTTGGTGCCATGGACCGGTTGGACCAACTCGCCTGTTGGTCCTATGGACCGGTTGGACCAGCTGGCCAGTTGATCCTATGGACCGGTTGGACCAACTGGCCTGTTGGCCGAATGGACCGGTTGGACCAACTAGCCTGTTGGCTAAATGGACCGGTTGGACCAACTGGCCTGTTAGTCCTATAGACTGGTTGGACCAACTGGCCTTTGTTCTATGAACCGGTTGGACCAATTCGCCTTTTGGTCCAATGGACCGGTTCAACAAACTGGGGTGTTGGTCCTATGGACCGGTTGGACCAATTGGCTTGTTGGTCCACTGGACCGGTTGGACCTATTGTTCTGTTGGTCCTATGGGCCGGTTGGACCAACTGGCTTGTTGGTCGAACGGACCAGTTGGACCAACTGGTTTGTTGGTCCCATGGACCGGTTGGACCAACTGGCCTGTTGGTCCTATGAACCGGTTGGACCAACAGGAATATTGGTCCTATGGACCGGTTAGACCAACTGACCTGTTGGTCCTACGGACCGTTTGGACCAACTGGCCTGTTGGTCCTATGGACCGGTTGGACCAACTGGCCTGTTGGTCCTATGGACCGGTTGGACCAACTAGCGTGTTGGTCCTATGAACCGGTTAGACCAACTGGCCTTTTGGACCAAGGGACCGGTTAGACCAACTGGCATGTTTGTCCAATGGACCGGTTGGACCAACTGGCGTGTTGGTCCTATGGACCGGCTGAACTAATTGGCTTGTTGGTCCAATGGACCGGTTGGACCAACTAGTCTGTTGGTCCTATGGACCGGTTGGACCAACTGGCTTGTTGGTCCAATAGAACGGTTGGACCAACTGGTATGTTGGTCCCACGAGCCGGTTGGACCAATTGGTCTGTTGGTCCTATGGACCAGTTGGACCAACTGGCGTGTTGGTCCAGTGGACCGGTTGGACCAACTGGCCTCTTGGTCCTATGGACCTGTTGGACCAACTGGCCTGTTGGTCCTATGGACCAGTTGGACCAACTAGCCTGTTGGCCGAATGGACCAGTTGGACCAGCTGGCCTGTTGGTCCTAAGGACCGGTTGGAACAACTTGCCTATTGGCCGAATGGACCGGCTGGACCAACTGGCCTGTTGGTCCAATGGACCGGTTCGACCAACTGGCCTTTTGGTCCAATGGACCGGTTCGACCAACTGGCCTTTTGGTCCAAGGGACCGGTTGGACCAACTGGCCTGTTTGTCCAATGGACCGGTTGGACCAACTGGAGTGTTGGTCCTATGGACCGGTTGGACCAATTGGCTTGTTGGTCCAAAAGACCGGTTGGACCAACTGGTCTGTTAGTCCTATGGACCGGTTGGACCAACTGGCTAGTTGGTCCAATGGACCGGTTGGACCAATTGGTTTGTTGGTGCCATGGACCGGTTGGACAAATTGGCCTGTTGGTCCTATGGACCGGTTGGACCAGTTGGCCTGTTGATCCTATGGACTGGTTGGACCAACTAGCCTATTGGCCGAATGGACCGGTTGGACCAACTGGCCTGTTGGCTGAATGGACCGGTTGGACCAACTGGCCTGTTGGTCCTATGGACTGGTTGGACCAACTGGCCTTTTGGTTCTATGAACCGGTTGGACCAATTGGCCTTTTGGTCCAAGGGACCGGTTCAACAAACTGGGGTGTTGGTCCTATGGACCGGTTGGACCAATTGGCTTGTTGGTCCTATGGACCGGTTGGACCAACTGGTCTGTTGGTCCTATGGGCCGGTTGGACCAACTGGCTTGTTGGTCCAATGGACCAGTTGGACCAACTGGTTTGTTGGTCCCATGGACCGGTTGGACCAACTAGCCTGGGGGGTGATGAGGGGGGGGTGTGGGAGGGAGAGGGGGAGGTGGGGTGTGATTAGAGGCGGGAGGGAGCGATTACGGCAAGAAAGGAATAGGGAAGGAGGGATATGTGACGTTAGCAATAGCACAACGTAGCCAGATCAGGGTGATTGGATCCGCGAAGCGCGGTGGAGGATTACGGGAATTTGGCAAATCAAACGCGGCGTTGTTTACGTTGTTGCGATGCTGCGAGAAGCATGAGGATGCTTAAAATGTGCTCATCCACTGATACTAGTAACGCGTACACTGTTCCATCTTGACAGTGAGGAAACTTCGATCAATTACGATTTCAGGTTCGCCCGAGCCGCCATCCATGGCTTCTGGCGGATTGCTGCTGCTCCCAGCACCGTCGCCGCCTCGCGACTCGTAAATTACCTCAAACGAATTAAAGATCTCTACAACGCGACCCGACTGCACGCCTAGGAGACATCCTACCACGCGGGAAGGCACGCCTCCTTGCTGCGCTTTAACGCGCGTGTAGTGATCTGACATGTTGACTATAACGAGCGGGTGAAGCTTGAAGGTCAGGCCACTAGACGACGACATGGCGTACACGACACGGTATCACAGAGAATATTCGCGGTCGATCGATACGCTAGCGCTTAACGGGAAAGAAACGGAAAGAAAAATCGGCGATTAGCGCTCGACGTATGTTCGGCAGCAAGCGACAATAGGAGGATGGAAATATGCTTGGTGGCAATAGTAGCAGATTTACCGCATCTGGCGGAGCGGAGCAACACAGACAGCACCAGAAGGCCAGGATTTTGGCATGAATTAGGAAAGAGCGTCTGTACTCGTTAGCGAAATTATATCGTTTCAGACTAGTAACCATGATAACAAACCCGTTACATATTTTTTCATGGCAAACCATTCTGTTTGCATCACAAGAGTTCCAACACCAATTTCAAGCCATTCACGTGTCTAAAAAGAGTAAGAACCCAAGCACAAAAATCACCCAATCCATCCACCACAGTACCATGAATTTTGCCCTCCAATTGCCACTAGAGCCACTGCAGCAGTGCCAGCCACAAAGCTACACTACGCCTAGTGCTCCTCAGCAAACCAGTCCACACATGCACTACTATGAACCGAGGCCATGCCCACCTAGTAACGCCCTCCCCCTTTCTCGCCCATTCTACTGGACAACCAGCAGCCCAGGATTGAACTACTAGCCAGCCGGCCAGCCAGCACGCTGGTCAGAGCACAAGGTCTCACCACACCACAAGCGTAACTCCCTCACTCCCTTTCCCCACTCCCCCTTCCTCCACTTCACTCCACGTCTATGCCAACGAGGGGAACTGAGACTGGTCCAGAGGAGGAGCATCAGCCGGCCGCCCGCCATAGCCACGGCCGCCGCCACCGTAGCGGCCGCCGCTGCGACCGCCACCGCGACCGCCACGGGGGTTGCGGTAATGGAAGGTCTGGCCGTCCGCTGGCTTGAGGAACTCGTTGATGTTCACCGTCTTGGGACGGTCCTCATCCTTTTTCCTCGCCGCCTTCTCCTTATCCTCTCCCTGCCAAAAATACCCACCGACAAAATGCACCAACCCGAACCGGCACGTACCGGGCGGCACCGAAGTACAAACATGAACACACCCACGCACGACGCACGGAACGAGGAAAGGAGGACGAGTTGGGACACAATGAGAAAACGGAAGCAGGGAACATGCCAAGCTAATCCGGGGCACAGGAGACAGAATGGGCGGCAGAGACAGCATGAAGAGCAAAGACAACACTGGGAGCAGCAGGGGTAGAGAGGGCAGAGAGGGCACGGACCAGCTTGACGAAGACGTCGTCGCCCTCGGGCTTCTTCTTGAGCGTCATCTTGGCCATCTCCTCGTCCACCTCCACTACGCGCGCCGCCGCCTTGCTGGCCGCCAGCGCCTTGCGCTTCTCCTCCAGCACCTTCTCGTACTCCTCCAGCGTCATTTGCTGCGCGCACGCACGCACCGGCGAGGGGGGGCGGGTTGGAACGGCCACGGGGACGGAACGAGGATGGAGACGGAGCGGGGTGCGGGCAGGGGCGGAGACGGTGGGACAGGGGAGATGGAAAAACAAGACGGGGGTACGAGCGGGCGGGAATAGGGGCGGAGAGATGGATGCACGGATGCGGAATAAAATGCACGAAGGTGAAAATCCGATGGATATCTTCGGAACTAAGTGGGTAATTTACCTTCTCCTCCTCTTCCTTCTCCTTCCGCGCAGCTTCCTGGGCTGCGAGCTCCTCCTCGCTCAGCACAGGGGGCTCCGGCGCTGCGACCTCCGCGGCCGCCTCCGCCGACTCGCCCTCCGCCTTCGGCTCCGCCTCCCCGGATGCGGGCGCGACGGTCTCACTGAAGAGGGAAACAGGAACGGCGCAGGAGAACAGTGTGATTGAGAAAACGGCGGGTGGGCGCAGGAGCACGGTACAGAGACGAACAAAGAAAGGACGATTTCGAGGAAAACAAGTGGATTAAATCAGAGAGAAAGACACGAAGGGGGGAGGGAAACGCGAACGCAGCAGCAAGACCGGGGGTCAGAATCAAGCCATGATAGGATGAGGGGTCGGTGTCGGGGGAAAGTCAGCTTGGAAAGACAGTAAGGCGCGGCAAGGTTTTGAAAAGAGAAAAAAACGCGAGCGGAAGGGTAAAGGGAGAGGCGCATTACTCGCCAAGGTATTCGCCCTCCCTGCCCCAGTTGCCACGGCCAGCCCCCTCGCGCTTGATCTCCCTGCGCGCAACACGGGGCGGAGGGAGACAGCGGAGGGGCACTGAGCGACGGGGCAAAACGGGGGACCGTTATGGCAGGGCGAAATGGCGGACCGGAATGGCGGGTCGAAATGGCCAGCAACGGGGCGAAACGGCTCCGCCGTTTGCACAACGGGGAGTCGGCCGGCGGGTGCCGCAAAATAAGGATGGCTATTGATAACTGCGTGGTTCCAACAGCATTCACGACCAAAGAACAATGAGGGGCAACAACACCCTCCATCCCCCCTCCCCCGCCCTCGCCCACTTCCTCCCAACCCACTCAAAGCCCCCTTGAGGCCACCACCGCACGTACCCGCCACGGCCAGTGCCGCTCATGCGGTCAAACTCGCGGTGCGGACGGCGCTGGCCCCCGTCGCGCCCATAGCCGCGACCGCGCCCTCCCCCCCTTCCGCCGCCTCTCCGGAGGTCGCCGTGGTGGTGCTGGTCGAACGACGAGCGGATCTCGCCGTCCTCCCCGCGCACCTGGCGCTCCGCGATGAACGCGCGGCCATTGTCGCGCGGCTCGTTGAACGTCTGGTAGTCGCCACCGCGTCCGCCGTATCCGCCGCGACCGCCGCCGCGACCTCCGCGGTTGTAGCCGGAGCGAGCAGGCGCAGTGGTAGCAGCAGCAGGCTTGGCTAAGATAAAGTAGCGGGAGGATCGGGAGGGAGGGAATGGAAACCCGGGCATTGAGTTGACTAAACGAGAATCCTTGCCAGTAAATCCAGCAGGCAGATCCGAAAAAACTGGAGCCAGTATTACCAAGCCTAGGAAGTTGATACTATCGGTCACAGAACGATGAAGCAGGAAAATGCCTAACCTAGAAAACATACGGACACACACTAAGTGAATGGCGAGAAAGCCCAGCAGGTCAACCATACGAGACGAGCAAACGAAAATGGTCAAGGCCTTCAGTGCATGCCAACGATCCGCATCGACAACCAACGGTGCATCGGGACAACCGAAAAGGAGAATAATGAAAGGAACGGAAAAAAAAAAACACGAAATGAAGCACGAAATAAAGCCAGGGTTAAGAATCCTCGTTACCAGCAGCAGGGGCGGGCTTGGCGCCCTTAGCGGCAGCCTTCTTGCTCGCGTCGACCTTCACAGGTTCGGCCGCGACGCGGGACAGCAGGGCCTGGGGGTCGTCATTGTCGTCTCCATCAAGCAGCGCGAAGGGGTTTTGCGTCGCCATTGCACTCCTGCTCTACCTTCCCGGACGCTCACAGAACGGCGGTGGCGCGAGACACGGACCAGTTAGTGCACGCGAGCCATGCACGGCCGCAGTGTGTATGGGCTCTAAGTTTTATAAACACGGCCTAGGTGCCAGCGCTAGGGATAGACTAATCGACTAAGTACGGCCACGTGAGAGAACAAGAGAATTCTCTCTGGTGACTGGAGGAAGGAGAGAGAAAGCAGGTGCCACCAAAGAGGCAGCGAGAGAAAGAGAACTGAACGAGACAGGAGAGCAAAAACCCTTGCTTCCACTCGATCATCCCCCTCCTCTGTTCCACCCCCGTGCAAAACAGGCATTCTGCGCACATCCCCTATTTTCTTTTTCCGCTTCCCCCAAAACCCCGCGCGACACTCCGGCATTGTCTGTGCATCGCTTCCCTCTTCCCTCGGTCAGTCCGCGTCGACAACTCCGCTAAAGGGGCTCCCTTGCGCGCCTGCCAGCATGCAGCGATCTTCAGATTGATGAGATGGTGACATGTGACACTGAACCAATCTGGGGCTCCGCAGCCCTCTATCGGTGCGCCCAATCCAGGGAGTGTCATGTACGCAATTTTAACTGATGCGTAGGGTTCACTATGAATACTTGTACACCGCAGTGACTCGTAGGCTCAGCAACTGGGGTGAAGACCATCTAGATCTAATATATACATCATGGTGAGAATATCATGTTTCCAGTGAGACAGTCAAGAATCTCATGCGGGCTGTTGCTGTGTAATGCAATGGATATTTCCACCGCCAAGAAGAACCTCTCGACCTTCTGGCATCATTATCACCTGAAATAGAAACAGAGCACCTGAAATTGAAACAGAACCGTTCGCCTGAAAAAAATGAATGTCTGGCACTTGCGGTAATCACATCTATACAAATTGCCAAGCGCCCAACCGGAGGACTTAACACACGCACCTCACGGTCCGGAAAAACCTTTTGTAGCACTTCAAACGCACGCTGGTCACTGGATGGGATGCCAAATGTAGGCACCACAACTGCACCTGCAGCAATGCACTCAAAGGCCAGGGATAGAAACCGATGTTGATGATACATGCTCTAAAGAAGAGGGGGGGAGGGGGGGGAGGCGAGGGAACCAAACAAAACAAACAAAGGTCCTCGAAAGACATGGGTGACTGCAACATATCAGGACGGAGTGTGCGAACGGAGCAGCCACGAAAAGGGGACACAGGCAGGCAGGAAAGCGAACCGAGTGTGGTGCACAGCGGTGCGCTGACCGTTTGGGAGGTAGAAGTTGATGTAGGATGCTGCCATCAGGTCCCCTGCCTGGCGCTGGGCGTGGGCCCCCTCCTTCGAGCAGGGGTACGGCATAGCAGTGGCATAGAACAGGGCAGGGCAGAGGGGCAGAGCAGGGAAGAGCACACGTCAGCAACGGCAGCGAAGGCAAGGCAGAGCAGAGCAGCAAACACAGCGGGTGGTGGTACCTGTGCGAGGCCTTGCACGTCTTGGTGCGAGTAGTGGAGCGCGGGTGGCAGCGGCAGGAGGGTGATGCGCAGGGGCCGGCTCTTGGCGTCTCGAGCTGAGCACAGCACCTCATGCGCCGCTTGACACACTGGGTACTGCAAATGCCATTGGTGTTGCCATTGTTGTTGCATTTTGGCCGAATTTGGTGGAAGGGAGTGCAGGACGGATGGGATGCACATTGCACAGAGGAAGAGGAAGCGGAAGAGGAAACAGAAGAGGAGAAGGAGGAGGAAGATGCGGTAGATAGAGTGAAAATCAAAGTGAAGAAGGAGTGAGAGAGAGTGAAGGCATATTGAAGAGGACTGCGAGCGGGGTAGAAAGAGGAAGGTCGGGTTCGGAATACAAGGGGAGGAGAGGGGTGGGACGGCTGGGCAGAAGGGATAAAGGACAAGAAGTGAGAGTGGGAACCTGCGGGTGCGAGGGGTCATCAGTCCACGCGAGCAGCATGTGTGCGGGCGCCACAAAGCACGCCAGATTGTCCACATGCCCGTCCGTGTCCTCGTCACCTGCCAGCCGGGATGGCCAGTGAACGGGAACGAGCTAGTGAGCGAGCGGGCATGCATGCAAGCGAGCGTGCGGGAAGGAGTGAGGGAGATGCACGACGAGTGAAGAGCACTAGGATGGCATGTGCGCAAGAGCAGAGCTACTGCTCGAAGTTTCCCGCATCAATTGCAGCAAGCGGAAAGTGAGTGGGAGAAAGTATGCACGTGAGAGGCCGGTCCACCTTGCAGGCCCCGGGGAAGCCAGATGACGGTCGAGAGCCCGAGGAGAGCATTTGCAGGTCCCCATTCAATCGCTTCTACAAGAACCCACAGCATATAAAACCACTCTGAGGGGCGTCGAAAGGTGTGTGAGAGGAAGGGGCACCTTGCAGGCCCCGGGGCAGCCAGATGATGGTGGAGATTCCCAGGAGAGCACAGAGGTGGTCCTCGATGGCTGCTCGTGAGAGAGCGGGGTTGCGGCTGTGGTGCAGCAGGCACTGCTCCGTGGTGATGAGCGTGCCTGCGAAGCAGAGCAGTTGTGGATGTGTGTGAAAAAGAGGTTACTCAGGTGCCTCGAAGGCGGTTAATAGGGCGCCTGAAAGAATGAGGCTTTCAGGTTTAGGAGCGTGTGCCACTGGGTTGTGAATGAGGAGCATGGAGGACGTATGTAGCGATTTTCAAGCAACTAGCACACACCTTCACCGTCCACGTGCAGGGAGCCCCCCTCCATGACGAGCGAGGTGCGGTGGCGCGTGCACGTAGGTATGAGCTCCGCCATCTGATGCCATGCCCATGGGGTGGGAATCATGTGGGGTGGTGCGCATGTGGGGTGGGGAGCGACGCCGATGCATCAGATATGGCATGTCAATGTCCACACGGAGTGGGGCGATGTATGAGCTAAAAGCGCCCCAGTGGAGATGTCCACACGGCGGGGTCGTGGCGGAGAGATGTGACTGTACGACCCTCGTAATGAGCAACCGTGCATGTGCATGCGCATGTGTATATATATGCATGTGCTCTGTGCTTGCACGTGCCTTGGCAGGAATCAAGTCATCATGAGACCAGTCACCATAGCACCCGCTCTCAGCACCTGGGCCAGGACAGGTGGGGAGGTGGGGCGAATAAGCGGAGGAGTTGAAGGAGAGAGGAGAAAGGATTAAGGAGAGAGGAAAGGAGGAGAGGGTATCTTTGAGAATTCTCAAGAATAGTGAGCAGGCGAATGTATTGCGTTTGTGGCATCTACGATGGCACGTGACTGCCACACGAACGTGGTGGACATGAGTACGAACACCCCATGCATGATGGCGTGTGCACATGGGACGGTATGTGCATGCCGTGGTGTGCATGCCGTAGTGTGCATCCCGTGGTGTGCATGCCGTGGTGTGCATGCTGTGGTGTGCATGCCATTATGTGCGTGACACTCACTCACCACCCCACGCGTTGAAGGTCCAATCAATAGCTGCCACGTGTCGTTCGCCACCTGGCAGGTCCTTCACCACAAACTGCAACGGACACAGGTGAGCGGGGGAGAGAGAGAGCAATAAGAGGGAAAAAAGGGGCGTGGGGAAGGAGGGTCAGAGGGAGAGAGAAAGGGGAAGGAAGAGAGTGGGGGTGAGAGAAATGGGGAGAGGGTGGAGTGAGAATGGTGGTGGGAGACTTTCTAAATGGAATGAAAGCAGCAAAGGACTGAGGGAACCCTGGTGGGCAAGGTAGTGTGGCGTTCCTTCCTCCTCCATCATCTGCTTTGAAACATCTCAAACCATGAATGGTACAGAGTTTTGGGCCCTCATTGTGTCACTCTCAGATGCCGGCCCTTGCATGCCACTGTCAACCCATCCTCGTCCCCTTCTTCAACTGGCACGTCTACGTTGAGAGGTCAGAGACATAAGCCTCACAAACAGGCATTCTGGCTGAACTGGTGAAGGAGGAGCAAGAGTAACGGAGCGGCTTACAGTGGGGCATATGTCTCTGGCCCACGCGTCGTTGCTGCTCATCTCTATCACGCGCACTGACGCCGGCAGCTGCTGCCGCGCGTTCCGCCACTGGTCATTGGACGGGTGGGATGAGACGGGGATGGGTCGAGATGGAGGATGAGATGGGACGGATGGGAAGGGAAGAGACGAGGACAGGGGCAAGCGGTATGGGGAACATCAGGTATACCGAAATTCTCTACATAGATACCTCTACACAAAAGCCCCTAAATTCTCATCCTTACCGCTACTCTCTCAGCTACGGCCCTCTCCTTCCTCTGCCTCCCACACTACTTCCCCCTTCCGCACCTCCCTCTCACACCCGACCCTTCCCTCCTCGTTTCTCCCACCCCTCCCCTGCCCACCTTTCCCCCACGGCCTCTTCCCCCCTTTCTCTCCCCTTCCCCCGTCCGCGCGTGCGCGCACCTGTGCGCCCGACACCAGCATGCGCACAGGTTCGAATCGGCTGATGCACGCCGCCACCGCCGCGAACGCCTGCTGAGCTGGCACCGCTGCGTCGCGCCAGTTGTCGGGACGCTCCTGCGCATGGCGCGGGAAAGGGAGAGGTGAGGTGAGGTGCGGAGGGAGGTGTTGGGAGGTGAGGTGCAGTGCAGTGCGGTGCAGACCAAGGAAAAGAACTGGGAGCGGTGGACGAAAGCGGAACGGGAAAAGGAAGGCGGGACGGGGAGGGAGCGCGAGGAGCGCGGGGGCATGCCGGGAGGAACTGACGGGCCAGATCATCCAACACCCATCGTGCGGCTCCCATTCGGCGGGCATCCGGAATCCGCGTAGCGCCTCGCGAAGCCGAACGAGCTCCTCGGTGTCGCCCGCATTGTCGCCTGCGCTGTCGCTAGTGACAGTTGAGTCCACCGCAAATGCCGCTTCCAACCGCTCCACGTCTCTTCCCAGAACTCCCCGTCTTTCCTCCGCTTTCTCTTCGCTCTCCTCCTTCGCGCTGCTTCGCGCGGCGATCGGTTCCGCCTCCGCAGCCGACATCTTTGACGCGGCCGAACCAGCGCCGAAAGCCTTTCCGGGGAGCTTTTGGTCGCGCAGCCACTGAGTAGAGCGGAATGAGGCGAATCAACGACACGTTTGACTTGGAGATCTCCTGTTCGCGGAAAGTGCTGGTAGCGATGACGGGAATTCGCGCCTCAAACAAGCAAAGCAAATCGTATTGCTCATAATGAGTAGGTGCGCTGACAATACTGAACATGTGCAGCATACTCGTAGATTGTCGCGGAGTTCACTCACAAAGTCATAGGAACAATACTCGATTTCGATAAACATATCATTGGAGAAATTCGATATCAAAATAGGTTGACATCCACACACTTTCTGCAATGTACGCATTAGAGCGGCAAATCGATGTTTGTAAATACACGAGCTGATTTTTTCAGATCCAACTCTGTGTCTACAATCGCGAACATTTCATCCATCCCACAAGAGGCAAGGTGGTGATGTGGACTGGATGGATGTGTTTGGATGTGTTTGCAGGCATTGAGCGCGCACCGCCCTACTCAACCCAATCGAACCCCCCAGTCTCCCAAAACGATTTTCGGCCGCACAATCCGAAAGTGCCGGGCAAGATGTGACAGCGGCAATTCGCGATGCCCTGCGACAGCGCATCAGCGATGAAATCGTCTCCGTTCCGTCAGTTCCGCCACCCTCGCCGCCTTTTCAATCCCATGATCTCCCATCCCATTCATGATCCATCCCATCTGACTTTGCTGATCAGATTCAGAGGCTTGCTCAAGCCAGTAGGTGACTGATGACTGACGGCTTTCTTTCAGGTGAAACGTTATCATCACATTCCGCTGGTCCTCCGCGAACGTATGCTGCCTCTTTGTCAACACAGCTGAGTCTGGCCAACACAATTCAGATTCCTTGCATGTATTGTTGAGTTTCTTAGTTATGCCATCTTGATTCACTTATTTTAGCAACCACGCGACGCGGCCATCTAGGGCTGCCTTGCGCTGCGCTTCGCCGTCAGCTGCCAGAATGGGATCAGCTTCGTCCACGCTCTCCTCCAATGACAACCCGCCACCTGTGACAACCGCACCCGCACCATCCTATGGGGTATTCGGGTCGGCTGGCACCGCATCAGGCGGCCAGCTGTTCGTGTCGCTCCGTCTAGTCGACTCGCATCCGTCGTCCCCGTTAGAATCCGCCGCGTTAGATTCACCGCAGGAGTCCGGGCCATCTCAGCTCATTCCGCATGTGGTCGGCGCGCATCCGCTCGTCGGCGCATGGGATCCCCTCGCTGCGGTGAGTGCTTCCCGCAACACGCGCTGACAAGCCTTCTAACCCTTCTACTCAGATACCGCACAACTGAATCGTAACCCTAACTAGGACATTCCGCAAGGCGGCTCTTCCCGCTTCACTTATCATGCATACGGAACACATCCGTCATTCAGAATCAGCATTGCCGGGGCCACGGCCGCTGTGCAACGGCTTCAGCGTGTCACTGGTGCCTTCCATCCCACCAACAGGTGCCTATGGAGCGGGATTCGCTGTGCGCGTGGCAGCTGAACGTGGTGCTGCCAGCACAGCACGGTGAGTCGCATCGCATCCTGAATTATCACATTGCGCGTCTCACTCCTCGTGCATTCACCCAGCTCGCAGCTAATTAACGCTGTTGCTGCTGCTTCCGCCGCTCCTGCTCCCGCCACCGTCGCCCCAGCAACCTCCCAAACCCCCACCATAATTACCCAAAACCCCTCAATTGCACGCAGCGCCGTTGGAGTTCAAGGTGGTGCTCAAGACAGTGGGCGGCATGATCATGCTCGACGACCCCTGCCTCCTAGAAGAGGGCCCCCCTCGCCAAATCATTGCTGGACACCTGGCAGGCCCTCACTCGTCCCGTCCCGCCCGGTTCCTCCTGAGGGACCTGTGGAGGAAGGTAGAGGGGCGCGGAGGGGAAGGGGGGAGCAGCGCGGTAGGGGGAAGCGTTGGGGGGAGCGCGGGGGAGAATGCGGGGGGGGATGCGGGGGAGAGTGGAGAGGAGGTGGCGTTTCCTGTGGAGATGAGTGCGAGGGCGGTGTCGCCGTTTGTGCTGGCAGCGGCGTGGAAGCTGTACGATGGGGCCATCTCGTCGCAGGGCACGCTGGTGCGCGGCATTCCTGATGTCTGCGCCGATGCCTTGCCCCTGCCCACTCCCTCCCACGTGTCGCCCGTGCTCACTGTAAGGACTGGGACCTGGGTGGAATGGCACGGCGGAGTGGCTTGGATGATCAGAGATAATATGTTCTGGGTCAGTGTGGGGGCGGGGGGAAAGGGGGGGGTATGGTGGCTGCACTGTGAACGGTTTGCAACAGCTCGAGACAGCCTCTCAAGTCCTTGCTGTTCACCGGACACGATCCCTCCCTCCCTCGTCTGCACTACCTTCTCTCACCTGATACCTCCCTCCTTCCCTCTCCTTCTCTCCCCCTCCTATTCCCTTCACCCCCTCTCAGCCCCTCCTGTCAGACTCACTCTTGGACTACGAGGTGCCGCCGCCACCACACAAGGTGCCGCTCTATGCAGCAGACGCCACAGAGGACCCGCGCTTCCTGCGCCAGTCCGCGGACGCGCCCCTCTCCGCCTCGCTCTCCCTCTCCTCCGCCAGCCCGGGGGGCGCCAGTGCGGGTGGTGTGGTAACGAGGGTGAGCAGTGCGCCACACAGCACGGGGCACACACCGCAGCAGTCACCGTCGCCCATGATGCGATCCGTGGTCTCTATCAAGGTGAGCGCCCTGCCGCTTTCCAAACTCAACTCAAGGTGACGTGACTTGACGCGTGTCCAACTCAGCATCAACATCAACATGAACGCCACTTCAAGTCATCACGCCTGAACATAACGTTCCCAATGTTCTCAGATAACGTTCCTTCCCTCCCAGTGCATGCGGCACATGTATTACACATACATGCATGGCCATCCCTCCTCATCCGCCTATCCACTTTCCCCATACAGGACCTGGTGCTGCTGGGCGAGGAGGAGCAGTCACGTATGGACAATGCGGCTCTCGCAGCAGCGGCAGCAGGGGAGCACGCGCATGAGCCGGGAGCAGCAAGAGAGGACGTGTCAGCGGCGGCTGCTGCTGCTGCAGGGCTGGTTCAGGTGCCCAGCCCTGCTGACGCTGCCATGCAGCGCGCTCAGTCGCGCCTTCTGCAGCAGCAGCAGCAGCAACAGCAGCAGCAGCAGCAGCAACAGGCAGAAGCAGAGGCACGGGCAGAGGCAGAGGAAGAAGCAGAGAGAGGTTTGGAGGCGCTCAGGCTGGAAGGTGCAGCAGTGGGGCCTGGCATTGGGCAGCAGCAGGGCGCGGTGGGCACGCCGCCTCCGCACGTGCTGGGTCCTGTGAAGTTCCTCAGTGCGCGCAGCTCTGGCAGCAATGGCAGCTGCGGTGGCCTTGCCGATCTGGACCTTGATGTGAGTCCGGTCGGGAGGAGAGGGGCGGGAAGGAGGGGTTAGGGGGAGGGGAGAGGAGATAGATGTGAGGGGTGGGAGAAAAGGGAGGGAGAGGAGAGGAGGGAAGGAATGGGGAGGAACGGGGATGCCTGCAGAAACTGCATTGTACAGCAAGAAGGTCTAAAGGATTAAGAGTCGAATGGTTGAAGAGATCACAGCCGTTGGTCCCAGCAAACGGGTTTAACGTCTATGACTACAAGGTCGTCTCGCTCTTTCCCGCATGTGTCTTTCCATCCTCGCTCCCCCCCTCTCCTTACCCCTGTGTGCGTGCATGTGTGCATGTGTGTATGTGTGTCCTCCCCGTCACCATGAGCAGCATCCGCGGCTGTCGTTCCCTGAGGACCTGCCCGAGGCAGCGGGAGCAGTGGCGGCAGCAGCAGCGGCGGAGAGGCTGCTGGGACCCAAGGAGAGGCGCCGCCTTGCTATCATCATGGTGAGGGCGCCAGGGCGGACGGGTGCATGGGAAGGGTAGTGACCGGTGCAAGGGGTGAGAGGAGTGGGAGCGGCAGGAGGGGTCATTCACACGTCCATTCCAACCAAAATATATGTCTCTCACGCAAAACCACGCCTGCCTCCCCTTATCTGTCCCCTTCGTGGTGGCTTCCCCACGTGTGGCACGGCATGGTGGCTTCCCTCCCCTTCTCTGTCTCCCTCAGGTGGGGCTGCCAGCACGTGGCAAGACGTTCACAGCAGCGAAGCTCACGCGCTACCTGCGATGGCTGGGCCACGAGACCAAGCACTTCAACGTCGGCAAGGTGCGTGCGTGCGTGCTCACGGACTCCTGAGGGTAGACGGAGGGCTTGCAGTGCAGCATTGTTGCCGCGAGCTCGAGGGCAGGCAGGTGGTGCATGCTCTCTCGTGCGTCTCTCTCTTGGCATGCTCGTTTTCGGGGGGGGTGTATGCGCGTTTGTGAGCATGCATGGTGGTTCTTCTCATCTCCCTACACACACACACACGCACACTCTCTCTCTCCCCCATGTCACTCATTCTGTCAGTCTATGCTACCCATTCCCCGCCCATGCACTCTCTTGCTCCGGCTCCTCCCTGTGCCCACCAACCACTGTGCGTGCTGGCAGTATCGGCGACTGAAGCTGGGAGCCAGTCAGGTACGTGTACTACCTTGAGATCTTGGGTTTGTGTGTAGTGTAGTGCTCTTGGGGCCCAGTTAACTGCCGTGTGTGGTCCCAGTAGTTGGCCAGTGGGTTCAGAGTCGCTTGCAAAAGGAGAAAATAGTTCGGGCAAGTTTGGGTCTTGCTTGCATGCAGTGCTGGCTTATGGTTCAGTAAAGTGTGCCCATGAGTTGTTGTGCTCCCATCTCTTGATTCATCCATCCCATGCCACATATGTGTTCTCCTTCCCGTGCCTTCCCGTGCCTTCCCATGCCTTCCCTGCCCTTCCCTGCCCTTCCCTGCCCTTCCCTGCCCTTTCCTGCCCTGCTCCCGTCCTTCTTTGTCTGTGTGTGTGCTGTGTGCGCCTGTTGCATCGCTCCACAGACATCGGATTTCTTCAGAGCTGACAACTTCGAAGGCATAGAGGCCCGCAACGAGGTCACTCTCTCACTCCCGCCCTCCCTCGTTTTCGCTATCTTGCAAACTGTTGCCCGTCAGTCACCCTCCCTCTCTTCCATCCCCCACACCCCACACCAACTCCTGCTGCCCTCCGCCAGCCATCAGAGTCACCCTGTACTTGCTTGTTACCTTTTTTTCTTTCTTTCTTTCTTCTCTTTTTTTTCTGGGGTTTTTGGGTGAAGCCAGAAGAGAATTTTGCCTCCTCCCTCACCCCCGTCTTCACTTGCTGCCACTAAAACACATGCGGTTATTAGTCCCTTCCCATGCTTCTCCTTTTCCTTCCGTCCGTGCATGTACACCTCTTATGCTGCCCCTCACCAGTACTTCAATCTCCCCTTGAACGTGTATGCCTGCCGTGCCCATGTGTGAACCCGTGTGTGTGTCTGTGTGGGCTGGTGTGTGTGCCTGAGTGAGTACAGGTGGCAGTAGAGGCATTCACGGACATGCTCGCATGGATGGATGAAGGGGGGCAGGTGAGACCACCAGGCCTTCCTTGCTGTGTGCATGTGCATGTGTGGGTGCATGGGCATGGGACTGAAAGTTGAAACGCTTTTGGCCCCTCCCCCTTCTCCTTTTTCTCCCATCTGCATCCCCTCTCGTCCCTCCACTCCTTCTTCCCTCTCTCCCTGCTTCAATCGTCTGCCTCCCCCTGTCATTCTTCTGCCATCGCTCGCTCATCCCCCCTGTCTCGTCTCATCCGCACCTCGACCCGCAGGTGGGCGTGTTTGACGCCACCAACAGCACCAGGGCGCGCCGCAACATGCTGCTGGAACTAGCGGAGCACAAATGCAAGGTGGGTGGGGCTGGCGAGTGCAAGGTGATCTATGTAAGTCCAAGAAGCGGTTGTTTCTTACCCGCCACTGCCATCTCTTGCAGCCTGTAGGGCCCCCATTCACGGCCCATCGCTGATAGCACCATGGTCCATGGGCTCCCTGCACCACCCCACCCCACCCAACCCGTCTGCACCCTCCTCCCCCACTCCCACCTCCCCCCCCTCCCGGCCCCCGGGCAGGTGATCTTCCTGGAGTGCATCTGTGACGATGCGTCTGTGATCGACCGCAATGCACGGGAGAAGATCAAGGCGTCTCCAGACTACACCAGCATGTGAGTTTTGAGGCGCCTCAACAAATGCGGGTAGAGAGACGACTTTTGAGGCGCCTCAGAAGATCAAGGCGTCTCCGGACTGCACCAGCATGTGAGCACCGACCTGTCCCCCGCTGCTCCTCATGCTCATGCTCGTGCTCTTGCTCTTGCTGCCCCCCTGCTGCTGATAGGCCAGCCGTTGTTGGTTCTGCTGCCGCACTGGTGATGGCACATGCACACATGCGCGTGTGACCTGTGCCTATGATTCTCCATGCATGTCGTGCTGCTCATCTCATCTCTGCATGCTTGCGATTGTTATCAGCATGGGCTGAGAAAGAGGCCACTCTGATTCTTTGGAGCTCTCGAGAATATTCTCCCGAGCAAAGAGCTGTTAAGAGCAGTTGTTATGTTAAGCACGCCGTGCCGCGCCGTGCTGTGCCGTGCGGTGCAATCACATCCTAACCCGCCCCCTGCTAGTGCGTCGCACCCCATGCCGCCATGCTCCGTGCCTCATGATCACCTCAGGGCCGATGCTGAGACTGCTCTCAACGACTTCCGCTCGCGCCTTGACAACTACCAACAGGTGCGTGCTCTTCCTCTCTGCTCTCTTCCACCCCTCTCTGCTCTCCCTCTCTGCTCGTGTCGCTGCCCTCCCCAATGTGATCTAACTTCCACCCTCTTCCTCTTCAAGCATTCCCGGCTCTTCCTCACCGGCCCCTTGTTTTCCGGCCTGGACCCACTCCACTGCGTCCCCTGTGCCATGCTCTTGGCTGCTACATGCCTGTGTCGTATGCTCTGTGCGGGGTGCATGTGTGTTGGTGTGTGCATGTGGGAACGTGTGGTGTGTGGGATGTGTGGGTGCCATGTGCGGGTGTCATGTGCGGGTGTCATGTGCGGGTGCCATGTGCGGGTGCTATGTGCGGGTGTCATGTGCGGGTGCCATGTGCGGGTGTCATGTGCGGGTACCATGTGCGGGTGCCATGTGCGGGTGCCATGTGCGGGTGCCATGTGCGGGTGCCATGTGTGGCGGGCAGGTGTACGAGCCAGTGGAGGAGGGGTCATACATAAAGCTCATCAACATGGTTTCAGGCTCCTCCGGGCAGCTGCAGGTCATCTCTCACACACACGCCGTGCCATGCCACGCCATGCCATGCCACGCCACGTCATGCCACGTCGTGCTATGCATTCATAACACATGCACTGACAGCTAACTAGAGTGACTGGACATGTAGCCGATTTCCTTAGCAATATTTTGATATAACCTCAGTACTCGGCTTTTCCTCCTCCTTGTGCCTTCCAACCTCCTCCTCTCTTCCCTTCTCCATTGTTTATTCCTGCACGCGCTTCCTCCTTGCTCCCCCCGCTTTCACGGCTTGGTTCGGTGCACCTGTTCCCGTAAACCCTCCTCCTTCTTGCGCTTGCGGCTCCATGCTAACTCCTTACGCTCAGTGAGGAGATTTGAGGGAGGTAGCTGCACTTCTTAGTTGCAGATTTCCCTTTTCTTGTGTCTCCTCGCTCTCAACACTCCAACCCTTTTCCCATTCCCTCTCTCCCCCTGTCACCTTCTCCTGCCCACCCTCCTGTTCCTCTCACTGCATTCCCCTCTCCCTCTCCCCCCCTTTCCCTCCCCATGTTGCCCTCTCTCTCTTCCCCCTTGTGTCCGCTCGCCTTGTGTGCGTGCATTGCAGGTGAACAACATCAGTGGGTACCTCCCTGGCCGCATTGTCTTCTTCCTTGTACGACCCATCCCATGCTCCCATGCACACATTCTCACACCCACATGCACACATGCAAATGCACACACATGCACACATACACACATGCACACATGCAAATACACACATGCACACACACACGCACACACACACATGCACACACACACGCATGCACACACCCACATGCACACACACACACACACTCACATGCACACACACACGCACACACACACGCACACACACACACACACACACTCACACGCACGCACATGTGCATGCACTCCATGCTCTTTTGCTTCCAACACTCCCTCTTCCATTCTTGCAACTGCCCAAGTTACATTAAACTCCTTTGCACACCCTGCCCTCCAATTATCTTCTCCGCACGCTCCCCCCTCTCACTGGCGTCATGCATCCCACCACTCACCCATGCATTGCCTCCCTTCCCTTCCCTTCCTTGGGCATCCCACCACTCATCCGTGCATGTGCGCCCCCCATGCAGCTGAACACGCACATCACCCCGCGTCCGGTGCTGCTGACAAGGCACGGGGAGAGCATGGACAACGTGCGGGGCAGAATAGGCGGCGACCCCCTGCTCAGGTGCACACTTGCCACCCATTCCACACACTCCACTCACGCCACACATGCTGCAGCATACCCCGCTCCTGCTTGAAAGACATGTCGCTCTCTCCTAACCACATCCTCGACCTGTGCTTGCCTAGTATTGAACTTTCCCAAAATCTGACATGCACGCGCCCCTCCTTATCATCCGTGCGTCTTCCTCCTACCTTCACCCGTCCCGTGCAGCCCAGCGGGGGAGATCTATGCGGAGAAGCTATCCGAGTTTGTGCACAAGCGCCTGCGCAACGAGCGCCTCGCATCTGTATGCGCCTCTCCTCCCTCTTGTTGCCCCCCGTGAATGCCTGTCTGCGTCGAAACAAACAGACTGAGTTGAATTGAAATGCAAGTCAACTCATTGGTCGGATAATTGTATTCCCTTGCACGTCAACTCAAACCGACCGCCCGTGCCCTGCCAATACAAGTCTTTTATACTTTCTCCATCACAAGTGGTTTCTCTTGCACAAACTCTTGCATGCCCAGAACTTGCCCACTTGCTTGTCGTTCTCGCTCTTATCTCACCCCTCCCTGCTCTTCTTTCAAGCTACCCCTTCTGAATACCCATGCCTGTGACACCACACCATGTCATGTCATGCCATGCCATGCCATGCCATGCCATGCCATGCCATGCCATGGTGCGACCCACCAGGTGTGGACCAGCACTTTGCGTCGCACCATCCGCACCGGCCGGCACATTGCAGGGTTCCCCAAGGTACGGCCTTAGTGTGGGCGCAACACAAGCTACGCCCAGCATGCAGGGCACAGCACAAGGCAATCCTGAAGATTCTCAAAAGCACCAGCTGTCCAACGTATTGTGATTGTGTGGTAGTGTGTGGATTAGCATGGGTTTACTCTCTCAAATCCACTGTCTCCATGCTAATCCCCTCTTTCCCCTCGCTTGGTCTGTTTGCTTCCCCCCTGTGGTATTATGGCGCCATCAGGTGCAATGGAGGGCGTTGGATGAGATAGATGCGGGCGTGTGCGATGGCATGACGTACCTTGAGATCCGCCAGAGCATGCCCGATGAGTACCGGTCCGTGCCCTGCTCTCTGCATGCGTGCACGCATGTGTGCATGCATGGCACATGGCACCAATGTCACTCCACTCTTGTGTCTTCAGTAGTAACACCACCCACCACCACCACCACCATGTGTCTATTGCACACACACCTCATTCCAAGGCTTCTCTCTGTGCTTGTGTCTGGTGGTTGCCTGCCTCTTCTTATCCTCTCACTCTCATAAGTCTCCTTCACCTCTCCCTTGACTCTTCGCCTGTCAAATCCTCTCTTCGTACCTTCCCCTCGCCTCCGTGTCTCTCCTCTCCCCTCCCATCCCTCCTCACCCCTCCTCAACCCTACTCTCTGTTCCCCACCTCACCTCACCTCGCCTCACTTCACCCCACCACACCGCACCTCTCACCTCACAGTTCTCGCAAGGCGGACAAGCTGCGGTACCGCTACCCACGTGGGGAGTCGTACCTGGATGTCATTCAGAGGCATGTGCCCTGCCCTGCCCTGCCCTGCCCTGCCCTGCCCTGCCCTGCCCTGCCCTGCCCTGCCCTGCGCTGCCCTGCCCTGCCCTGCTCTGCCCTGCCCTGCCCTGCCGTGCCCTGCCCTGCCCTACTCATCCTCTACGCAGTTCCTTCGCCTCCTGCTCCTCACACCTATTCTTCCTTGTGCCCATCCTCTCCCCTCCATCTTGCACGTTGAGCCAGTGGCAATCAAGCTACAAAAGGCACAGACACGTGTTGACAGGTTGTGAAACACGTGTTCCCCTCCCACCACCCCCTTAACTGCAGGTTGGAGCCAGTGATAATAGAGCTGGAGAGGCAGAGACACCCTGTCGTCATCATTGCGCACCAGGCATGTACCCATGCATGCCATTCCACCCATGCCCTGCTACATACCCATGAGCATCCGCAATATGTGCAAATGAACAGTGTTTTCCTCCAGCTAACTCTGGCCCATCGTGCCCACTGCGCTTGGCAAAAGCAGCGCTGTCTCCTCTGGATGAAGCATCTTCCATGCGGCATGATGCATGAGTCGTAATGTGCTCTGTCCCTTGCACTTCCCCTCGCATGGTGTGTATGGTTGCATGGTGCATCTGGGCGTGTGCAGGCGGTGCTGCGAGCGCTCTATGCATACTTCATGGACAAGCCACTGAGGGAGGTGCCTCACATCGAGGTGACTCCCCCGCCTTTCCCTCACCCGTTACCTGCTGCTTTCACCACATCATGCACACTCTCGCTCTTGCTTCCATCTCCGTGTCACCTTCACTCACACCACAACTCCACCACGACCTCCCTGTGTGTGCATGTGGAGCAGATGCCGTTGCACACCATTATCGAGCTCACCACAGGTGTGGGTGGGATCACCGAGAAGCGTTTTAAGCTAACTGCTGCCTCCACTGCCGCTGCCACTGCTGCAGCAGCCGCTGCCGCTGCTGCTGCTGTGACATCCCCCCCAGTTGCATCGCGCAGCATAGCTTCACCTACTTAGCTTCACTGAGCCTCGGCTTAGCTTCCTCCGCTTTCTCTCACTCTTGGCGCCCAACCACACGTTCCTTCCGCCCAAGCAGCTCTGGTGGGGTTGCGCAGCTGGCCGTCGGGTAAAGGATAGGGCGGGATTTTGTCAGCGTCTTTGGAATAGGTATGCAATGTTGCAATGCATTGTTTGTGCATGGTTGAGTTGCTGGAATTCAATTCAAGCTATACGGTATCTTACAAGATCCATGCAGTGTTCTGTTGGTAGACTATGGTATAAAGGATAATTGCCTGTGTGACCTGGAGTCTTGCTGTGGAAGGCTTTGAGATTTTGTAACGCGTCAACCCTGCCATTACTAATCTACCGGTACGTGCAATTTGGTGCTCATCCTAGATATTGGTTAGCAGAAGATGCCTTCTTGACATACAACAAGCCCCTTCCACAATGGAAAGCCTTTAATGTTTGCCTAATGTCGCATAGGAGAATGTAGGTTGCAGTGCAGGGTTGGTGTTACGGTATGAGTTGTTTCAAGAGAATGCGTGGGATAACAAATGAATACGGTGTGACAATGTGGAGTGCTTATACATTTTTTTTACGTGATGATAAACGGTACGAAGAATCATAGGAGACTTAGGAGTACGAGTTAAAACCAGGGTCTCATGTAGATCATTTGTTTTGCAGTTGATGGGAAACACCCGTTTCCCATTGGTTGACGAGCCCTAAAAAACGAAAAGGGGTGCAGCGAGGGATGCGAAGGGAACTAAATCGCTTGCTGTGTTCCAAACCTTCTAGGTATGGAAACAGGTTCGGAGCCGAAGCTACAGTGCCAGTGAAATGTCAAGAATTGTCGAGAGTCTCATGTACCCGAAATTTGTTTTGCAATTGGTGCTGAGGCAAAATAGGGGGAGTGTCGCACGCCAACTTCCCTAGCCAACCAGTCCATCTCGCCTACAAACACAAGGTAACGCAAGTCTCAAATGTTTTGCAATTGATGGCAAAATCTCTTACTTGAGACCCTGGTTTTAAGTACATGCCAAGCGAGGAAAAGCTGATGGCAGCGCGAGGCAACCTTGGTGCAGAGAGAATCGGCCGAGCCCTTCTTTCCTGTACGCAAAGCAGCAGACCCTGATAAGGAAGAATATGAGTTCCTTACAGTTGATTTCGACTCACATGGGAAATTTCGCGGCCAACAGATTAGCGAGGATTTCAATTGTACAGCATTACAGGAAGAACGGGAGTGACAAGCGTTGCTGCACCATGGTATCATATGATAACCGACTTTGTGTAACTTTAAAGCAAAACCATAGTGATGCATCTCCACATCAACAAGTTGCATTGCGTACGTGTCTAATACGAAAAGTTATCGTATTCCATAATCCAAGTCGACAAGCTCAGTAACTAAGGCAGACGCAGTAGTGGACTCAAAGGAAGGGTCAGTGACAACAGTAGCCAGGAGACGCGTGACAGTAGGACTGGCGGCACGAAGGCAGTCAGACGCCGGGTCAGCAAGAGCAGGAAGAGAGGACTCAGGAGGAGACGGCAAAGGGACACGCAGTGGAGCAGTGGAAGGACGCAGTGCCATCTGGTGCGTGCCCGGGACCGCAGGAAGGCGCTGACGTGGAACACGACGACCAGTGCGAGCAGCACGAACAGGCGACGCAGGACGCGACTCAGGCTCACGACGCTCAGCAAGACCTCCAGTAGGACCAGTGTAGGGAGAAGGAGCAGGCAGTGGGGAGGCCAGCTGTAACTGTGACTCGGACTGGACAGGCGGTGGACACTCTAAGGAAGGAGCAGGACCAGAAGAAGGCGGAAGACCAAGAACCTGCTCAAAGAGCGGAACGAAGTACGGCCGCGGCCGCGCAGCGCCTCCAGAACCAGCAGGGACAGCACCAGCACCCCCAGCGTCAGCTCCAACTCCAGCAGCACCACCAGCTCCAGCAGCACCTCCAGCAGCTCCAGCTCCAGCAGGACCACCGGAAGACGCAGCAGCTCCGGCTCCAGTACCCCCAGCAGCACCTACTCTAGCAGCACCGCCAGCTCCAGCTCCGCTAGCAGCTCCAGCACCGCTAGCAGCTCCAGCACCAGCAGCACCACCAGGCCCAGCAGCTCCAGTACCTCCAGTACGAGCACCTCTGGGACCCGTGGCTCCAGCACCCCCAACAGCAGTAGCACCTCCAGTACCGGCAGCACCACCAGCTCCAGCAGCACGGCTCCAGCGCCGAGCAAACCACTCGCGCAGCTCCTGTGGAGAGGGTAGCTCCCGCCGGGACGAAGCACACGAAGGACCTCCAGGCCCAGCACCGCTAGACTCCACACGAGCAGGCCCAGCTCCCGCAGGCTCCGCACCCCCAGACTCAGCAACTCCAGGCTCAGCACCCCCAGAATCAGGAACTCCAGGCTCAGCACCCCCAGACTCAGCACCCCCAGGCTCCGCACGCGCAGGCTCAGCACCCCCAAACTCAGCACCCCCAGGCTCCGCACGCTCAGGCTCAGCACCCCCAGACCCGGCACCCGCAGGCTCAGCACCCCTAGCAGCAACAGAGTCAACAGCTACCTCGACAGGCTCGACTGCGTCTACCTGGGACACACCTGAGGGGACAGGACCCTGAGGGGGGAGGGGGTCTACCGGGGGGGGACCTGGCGCGAGGAAGAGCGGCGGGGGGGGGAGGGGGGCAGCGCGGTAGGGAAAGAGACGGTAGTACGGAACCGACTCATCAAACGTGACGTCCTGGGAGGACAGAACACGGCGCGAGGTGGGGTGGTAAAACTGCCAACCAGGCGCGTCAGGGGGGAAGCCAAGGAAGACGCAGGGAACAGCACGGGAGGACAGCTTGTCCGCAGACAAGTCGCAGACGAAAGCTCGAGATCCCCAGACACGGAACGCAGACGCATCGCCAACCTTCCCCGTCCACCGCAGAGTAGGGGAGGTCTCCGGCATAGAGACCCGGGGCTGAAGGTTGAGCTGATGCGCCGCGTACTGAACCGCGAACGGCCACAGAAAATGGGGAGCAGCTGCATGGATCATGGACGTACGAGCGACGTCCATGACCATGCCAATGCGGTGCTCAGCAATCCCATTTTGCTGTGGAGAGGCCGGAAGCGTGAACGTCTGGTGGATGCCCTCCGCACGACAGAAGGCTCGCAGAAGGTCGGAGGAAAACTCTCCACCTCGGTCGGAGTGCAGACGCAGAACAGGAAAGTCCGAGCCGAAACTCTCTCTGAGCTGGAGACGGGCAGCGCGGATCCAGTCGATCAACACCTCAGTGACCTCACCCTTGCGGCGCAAGGGGAAGACTGAGGTGTAACGCGAGAAGTCGTCAACCACCAGCAGGAAGTAACGCTCGTGACCCTGTCCACGGACGCGGGCTGGGCCCCACACGTCCATGTGGAGAGTCTGCAGTGGAGCCTCTGTCGGAGGAAACTCGGAGGAGTGAGGAGCGGCGCGCTGCCGCCCCTCGACGCAGGGAACGCAGGTAGGGGCAGGCCCCGGAGGAAGGGGAGGGAGGGACCGGGGGAGACCAGAGACAAGGACACGGGAGGCCATGCCTCGGAGACGAGGCAGGGAGGGGTGACCAAGGCGGTGGTGCCAGAGGAGGGTCTGGTGGGACAGGAGGCGACAAGAGCAGGGGGCAGACTCAGGACCAGACCGAGACGCTGCAGCAAACACCTGACCCAACGCAGCTACCTGACCAGACGCAGCAACCGGAGGAGACTCGGTAGTCAGTGTGTACAGGCTCGTCCCCGGCTGACGGGTAAACGTGGCCAAGTGTCGGCCCGTCCGAGCACACGTGCAGTGGGTCACTCGCTGACTCGCAGGAGTGAACTGGTCAACCCCTCCATCCTTTAGGTCAGCACCACTCACCAAGTTCGTAGAGAACGAGGGGAGGTAAAGACCTGACAGGGAGCCAGAGGGGGCCGCCGGACACGGTAGGACAGTGGAGTAGTGGGCAAGTACAGGACCCCAAGAGGGGTCTGCCAGGGAGACTGCAACCGGCCGACTAAGCGGCGTGAGTGTGGTGCGGTCTCGAAAGAAGGAGCGGGAAGCACCCGAGTCAAGGGTGAAGGTGTGTAAGACCGCAGCAGGCGCAGTACCAGAGAGAGCAAACTCACCAGCACCTGGAGTAGTAGACTCACGAGCACCTAGAGCAGCAGCCTCACCAGCACCTGGAGCAGGAGACGTACCAGCACCTAGAGCAGCAGCCTCACCAGTACCTAGAGCAGCAGACTGGATACCGGGGTCAGGCGGCCCACACAGGTAACAGACACCCTCAGCACTAGTAGGCAATGCATACATGGCAGTGAGGATAGCATCATAGTCAAGAGCATAGATATCTACCCTCTGCCTAAGCAGCTCCACCCAGTCGGGGAGCTCAGCCGCGTCGTCAAACTCTGTACGCCAGGCGTCGCTCAGACGGGCGAAGCAGCGGGACTCTGTGTGACCAAACGTCCCGCAAGGCTGACCAGTCCGAGCACCAGTGCGAATGACGTACGGGCAGCGAGCAGTACCCCGTGACCCTCCACGCTGAGCGTACCACTCACGAAGCTGCTGGGGCGAAAGGACCGCGCGCAGACGACGCTGCAGCTGCACCTGGCCACTACAAGAAGCTCCCGAACTACTCACTCCAGGACGACTCCCACTATGGCCACCCCGACAACCCCAACTAGCGTACCACTCACGAAGCTGCTGGGGCGTGAGGGACTCACGCGGACGGCGCTGGAGCTGCATCTGGCCACGCCTGGAGCAGCAGTAGCAGTAGAAAGAGCAGTAGCAGCAGGAGCAGCAGTAACAGCAGTACGGGCAGGGCAGTGCTCACCAGTGGCGAAAAGGGCACGCGTACGACGGTGGCAACGGCAAGGCCGCTACCACTGCAGGGCGAGGGCTCCGCGGCAGCTGCAGAGGCGA